GGCCCCGCCCTGCCCGCCCCGGGTTTGCCAACAGCGCTCTGATTGTGAGCACCCCGGCATCCACACAACACACACGCACGCAAACTCCACCTGCGCGCGCTCACTCCACCCCCCCCCCCCAAAAAAAGGACCTGTATGATGCCATTGCCGCGGGTGACTACCCGGAGTGGGCCCTCATGATCCAGACCATGGACCCTGCCGACCAGGACAAGTGAGGCGCCCTGGGGTGGTGTGATTGTGATTGTGTATGTGTGTGTGTGCGGGGGTGTTTTGGTTGTGTGTTGTCTTTTTGTGTGTGTGTGTGGGGGAGCAACGCTGAAGAGCGCAATCGGGCATCGCCTCTCGCCCTTTGCACTCCCTGCATGCTGCCGCCAGCTCTTTTGTCCGGCGCCAGGCCCGCATCAAAGCACACCGTCCCCTCCCCCCGCTCCTGGTCAAAGGTTTGACTTTGACCCCCTGGACGTGACCAAGATCTGGCCCGAGGACATCTTCCCTCTCCAGCCGGTGAGCTTCTTCACATCTCCATTTTACAATGAGAAGGCGGGCCCTAGGGAGCCCACACATGCCTGCTATCCACCTCCCCACTGCTGCCTCTCAAGACCTCTGCACAGCCATGCTGATATGTATGCGGGTTGCCTGCCCCACCCCATGAAACCACCCCCTTCCGTCTGCACATGTCCCAACCGCCCTCCACCGCCCCCAACCGCCCCCAACCGCCGCCTGCCAGGTTGGCCGCATGGTGCTGAACCGCAACCCGGACAACTTCTTCAACGAGAACGAGCAGCTGGCCTTCTGCCCGGCCCTGGTGGTGCCCGGCATCACCTACAGCGACGACAAGCTGCTGCAGACGCGCATCTTCAGGTGCGAGCGCGGCCCCCGGACCCCAGCCGCCGGCGCGTCCGCACCGTGTCTTTCTGAAATTATGTGTTGCCTCGCTGGTCGCTTGTGCGTGGTCGCTGCGCACCTCCAGACCCCCCCCCCCTTTCAGCTGGTCTGAGGGCCCTATGGCACACAACCGCCTGGTCGTTCTCTCTTGCACTGAATCTCACATGCACGGCC